TAAACTAATAAAAACGACAAAAACTATAAATAACAAAAAATTAAATAATTAGAACTTAAAATTAAAACTGAAAATATAAAAAAAAGCTATTTCAAAATCTTAATAAATACTATAATAGTATATAAATAATACTAAAATAACAGTTCTGAAAATAAATTAACCACATGATCAACTCTTAACTTTTAGTTTGTCTTATTATTTGATCAGAATGCTAAAAGACTAGCTACGGATGTTAAGCATGAGATTCGAGAGCAGCTATTGGCTGGGACGTAAAGTGGGTGGGATTAAGGGAGAGGTCCTTGGTAAATAGTTTTGTTCCCAGTTTTAAGAGGATTGATTGAGTACACTTCTTCACCCAGGGTTTGTTTGGCGTGGCATACTACCATACTAGTTTTGCAGTATGCAAACTGGCACATTATGCAAACGTTTAGTATAAATGGCATATGTGGATGACTTATCGGTAATATTTGCCAAAATATGCAGCATACAACAGAGCACACTATGTAAAAAAAAAAACGTATCCCATGATGCAATGCGCTCGACCTTGCATTCTGAAACAGTGTTGTTATTAACGAAAACTATTACAATTTGTTTTAGTAAATTGAAATAAAGCTAATATAAAAAAATTGTAAATATTAGATGAAAAACCTAAACTTGCCTTGGCAACTCAGATGAACTGCTAAAACGACGGAAATAAAACTGGGGGAAAAATTAAGCTATATAGAAATATTTATATAAAAAAGACAAACTTAAAAATTATGAGTAAAAAAAAACGTAAAAGTATATTACAACTCTTAACTTTTAGTTTGTCTTATTATTTGATCAGAATGCTAAAAGACTTCATTTTACTTCGTATTTCATTTTTCTCAAAATTGGATTAAAACTGAAAAAACTATTTCAAATATGATAAATAGATCCCATTCGCTGAATTAATCAATGATGTCCCATGATCATCTTGTATACTACTGTTAGAAACGTTTAGAATTTCAAAATGCATACTGTTTCACATAATATTTTTGAAAAATAGTAGGCAGTATACAGTATAAACAGCAAAGTATGCAGGACGTTTGCTAGTATTCCACTCCGAACACAACCCAACAGTTTTAGACCGAGGTTGAGTGTTTCCCACACTCACTTAAACACACACACAGACTACAGTATGTGTGCTTATAACAGTCTGATAACCAACAACGGTCATAGAGCACATTAAAGCATGTTTAACACACACACACACACACACTTCCAGCATCCATTTGATGAATGTTAAAAAAAAATAAAAAATGGATCCATCATTCACTGCTCTCTCTCCATTTTCCTTCATTTTATCAGCTATTTGTCCCGTCTTTCTCACCTCATTTTCTTCTATCACATATCCCAATACAGCTTTTAGCTTTTTTTTTAATAACATTTCCCTCTCTCTTTCTCACTGTTTATATGAGTGTCTGATAAATATTCATCAGCGTTTCATTTTTTCACCTGTCTAAAAGTGCCAGCCAGCTGGATATTACAGGAACTCTATAAATTCCACTTTTTTGGATGCTGGATCAGAACATTTAAAGTCAACGTGAAGCCAAAATTGACATTATTTACTTTATTACTACTGAAATGTCTTCACCAAGCCATTGTTTCTTGCCAGCTCTCCTCAAATATCCTTTTTACCTGCAAAATTTGTCACATTGTGGCAGTAAAACAGGTCACGAGTGCAGTTTCATGCTGACTTTAAAATATTCAGATGGCTCACATGTTCCTGGAAAGCATTAATGTGTTGTGTTACATAAGCGTGACCTTTGGCCACAGCTGAATTTATTAATTAAACATTTTGTACTGTTAATATTCTTTGCTTTGCTTCCAGCACTTTCTGTTTCTGTGGGTCTAAATGCATTGAATTGCGAGTTTTGTATCATCATCATCATCATCATCATCACATCCCTCAGTTTAAGACGATCTTTACAGACGCCACAATCCAACACCGATAGCCACTCTGAATAAATATAAATATAGGACTATGGCATAAAAATCCACAACATTAAACATTAAACACACGGTCGAGCTTTTCGAAAATGAAAAGAAATCATCTCAGAACAGCAATCTTATACACATCTTTCCTTTAGCGATTTAATTAATTCCCTTTAATTATCTTTTAGCAGCTTAGCGAATGATAACTTGGCACTACTGAATTTTGTAAATATTTGCTTGGTCTTAAGAGTTAAGGGTCATAAAATACTCCATTTTCTCATCTTTTGCAGTCTTGTCTTGAGAATTTTGAGTTGTATTTTTTCATTTATCAAGTAAATCTTCATCTAAACCCAGTCATAATCATTATTAACATTAAGACGACCTTCACTGAAAATGTTTGCAGACACGACTGGAATTGCAAAACATTCGGTATTGGTGGTCGTGACACTCGTTGCTATGTCGAAAGCATCTTTAATCACGTTACGGCAGTTACCATAACAACTGCAATCTGCACAGCAATACTGAAGTAATCATTAGTGTGTGGCACAGAAATATTGACTCTCTCACTGGCTTGTGTTTGTGTGTTCACTGGAAATATTTTCAAAGGTCAAGATGAAGGGTCAGATATGGAAGCCCGTTTCCGCCACTGAATAAAAAATAAAAAATAAAAAAAGTTAATTGTGACTTTTTATCTCACAATTCTGACTTTTTTTCTCATAATTGCGTGATATAAACTCGCAATTGCGAGTTAAAAAGTCGTAATTGTGAGATATAAACTCGCAATTGCGAGAACATATCAGTCCCCCCCCCCTCAAAATTGGACTTTTAACTCGCAATTGCGTGTTATAAAGTCAGAATTGCAGATATAAACTCGCAATTGTGAGAAAAAAAGTCAGAATTATGAGAAAAAAAGTCAGAATTGCGAGATATAAACTCGCAATTGCGAGGAAAAAAAGTCAGAATTGTGAGTTTATATCACGCAATTCTGTGAAAAAAAGTCAGAATTGTGAGATAAAAAGTCGCAATAACCTTTTTTTAATTTTTTTATTCAGTGGCGGAAATGGGCTTCCATAGTCAGACATTCACTCTGTTCCATACCAAGTGAGCTCTAGTGTTGTTTACTAGCAGAGTTGGCGTTACTGTACTCTAATTACTTTTCCTGATAACGCAGTAATGTAATGCATTACATTTTGAATTTATGTAATTTGATTACTGTTACTAATGTCAATAAAATTGTTACTTAAGTTACAAATGCAGTGTTAAGAAAAAATATGAAGATGCATTTTAAATTTAAAATGTAATAAATCACCGGAGAATGCGAGCTAAAATGCTGACGAGTCGTACAACATTTAGATGCAATGAAAGGTTGCCTATCATATTTCAAAATGTTGCACTCGATTTCACATATTTTAGTCTGGCATTACAGTTTGGGAAAAGTACAACTAGTAAAATTAAATTAAATTAAAACTATTCAGCAAGAATGCATTAGAT